TTAGGGTGACTCGATAAGGCAAAAGTGTACCTAGCACGATACATATCACTAGCTTACACCAAGGTTACAAGGTACAAGACTTTTATGTGTACCCTGATATCCAACAAGGGCATGCAAAAAAGTGTAGCAAAGAGCATTATTTATATAAATCAAGACGACATTTGACATCGAGCCTAATGCAAATTATGTCACTTCAGTTTTGCACAAGTACAAACTAACACACACAAACACACCCTTGCATTTGACTATATCCACTCCAACTCTGTTGCAAGGGGATAAAAAGGATTAATTTTATTTTAAACAAAAGCTGTATATGATTTCCTAGGATGAGGAAGAATTGATCTGATTCCAGGATTTAATTACAGCTCTCTATAACTAGATACCTCTTCCATCCTAAGAAAAAATCCATCTGACTATATCAATTATGAGTTCTGATCCCTCTTATTGATAAAATTAAGTTTTCCATATCTGTCCTTGCAGAGAATGCCTTTATGGCTTGCATCTCAATTTTGAATGTGTTCTGAAAAGGTATATCCATGTTTTTTTTTCTTCTGGCCTTACTCGTAGTGATGTCGTTGTGTGCCATCATGTTCTTCAATCACCTTTAAAATTTCTTCCTATTACATTGTATTTATAATTGCGATAATATGACAATGTGAAGTTGAATTTATTAGGTATATAGCTTTATAGACCTTGTCCAGAATTCTAGACAGAGTATTGAGCTATGGCCTCAGTTTTAAAAGCTCTACTAGTCAGAGACCAGATGAGCTTATGCGACAGTAATGTGTCCGTCGTCCATCCGCCTGGCTGTCCATCTGTCTGTAAACAATTTTTCAAAATGCTACTCCTTCTACAGTATTTGTCTGATTTCAATATAACTTGGCACACAAGTAGACTACACTAATAAGATACATAATTCTGTATATCGGTTTTTGATTTTAATGAACAGTGTTGCTGTTGTTACTAAAAATAGAAATTTCTGTGAAATACTTTCAAAATGCTACTCCTCCTACAGTTTTGATTTGATTTCAATATAACTTAAAACACAAGTAGACTACACTAAGATACATAATTCTTTTTATTGGTTTTTGATTTCGATGAACGTTGTTGCCGTGGTTACTAAAAAATAGAAATTTCTGTGAAATACTTTTAAAATGCTACTCCTCCTACAGCTTTGGTCTGATTTCAATATAACTTGGCACACAGGTAGACCACACTAAGAGACATAATTCTATGTATCAGTTTTTGATTTTGATGAATGTTGTTGCAGTGGTTAATAAAAATAGAAATTTCTGTGAAATACAATGTACTTTCAAAATGCTACTACTCCTACAGATTTGGTCTGATTTCAAAATAACCTGGCACACAAGTGAACTACACTAAGATACATAATTCTGTGTATCAGTTTTTTTTATTTCTATGAACGTTGTTGCCATGGTTACTAAAAATAGAAATTTCTGTGAAATACTTTCAAAATGCTACTCCAAATACGGTTTTAGTCTGATTATAATATAATTTGGCATGCAAGTAGACTACACTGAGAAACATAATTATCAGCTTTGTGTTTTTGATTTTGATGATTGATGTTGCCATGGTAACTTAAGATGAAAATTCTGTAAAGTTTTATTAAATTCTTCTCCTACAGTTGTAGTCTTATTGCAATCTTGCCACAAAATGAGACTTAATCAAGGATCATCATTCTATTTATTGGTTTTGTAAAGTTTTAAGTCCCAACTGCTACTTTTCTCTTCCTTTATTATAAGTACAAACCAGTAGAGCTACAGTCTCGATAGAGACTTCTTGTTTATCCTATGATATTCAGGTGACTGTGGAGGCCTATGGGCCTTGTGAGATAGCTAGTATGTGTAATGTTTAAATTGTTATGGATTGACATAAATGCTTTAAAGGAAAGATTATAAGAGAAAAAGTGCATAATATGATGATTCCTCCAAACAATTGACAGAATTTAAATGAGGTTTGAAAAATTCTCTTACTAATTAAGATAGATTAATTGATATAGTTGGACCATGTGAAATTTAATCTTATACAAAGAAAATTGCATATATTTTGAATTTTTCTAATGGGTCAAGTTGGTACATACGGGGTACATAAATATTTTACATACTGTTGATTATATAAATTTCCAATCCCTAAACAGGTGATGCAGAAACATAACAGTGCCAAACACAGTTAATTAAACATGCAGTGTTGTTATTCTAAGTTCTTACAGCCTGAGGTGCTATCTTCTATTGATTCTCTCTTTATAGTTAAATATGCATGCTTCTGTAAATAATGTATTGTGTGAATCAAAATATCCCAGTTCCACTTTTCATTCCACTGAAATTCATATATGGAATACTGTGTACTGTATAAATGGTGGATTTTTATTAAAAGGAACCATCTTATGTGAGTGATTTCTTATTTGATGAGGTTGAGTACTATTATTATTTTTTTTTTGTGGTTAATTATTTTAATTTAGCAAATACACAAAGAATATTAAAATTTTTATCCCAAAATATTAACTAATTTCATATTTATGAATAAAATGCTACAATTATTTGCAAGTTCTTCATAAACAAGTGTTGAATAAATAATATTGAAAAATTCAATTTTGAACAATATAGTCCATTATCTCAGCATTATTGCTAGGAGTTTTAGTGAAATCTTTAAGTCTCTGGTGTTTTCATTGATAATGTATCTACAAGTGCTTTATGTATAAAAATAAACATGATACCTGTTCTTCAATAATGATAAAATTAAATCAAGAAGTTGTGAAAATGAAGAAGTTGTTACAATAAGCATTGATTTTGGCTTAACAGTTTTTTATGAAAATGACTGCAGAAATCTGATTTTTTGGAGGAAACTAAATGATAGGTGAACAGAAATGTGTCCAAAAATGAACTTATTGACATCTATATCAGCAATATACATCTGCATGATGTATGAGAAAATTTTCAAAGAGTTTCATGAACTTTTGATGAAGGAAGTTTGGTTAATTTAGCTAATTAAATTTACTGCTCTAAAGAAACTTTTATATATTTTTTTCATTTGGCCATACTTGCTAAACATTTTATAAGTTGTATCTGCATGAAAAGAGGTTTGTTATGAATTTTGTACATAATTTATAGACTTTTGAGTAAGCAGATGCATTCAGCACACAATGATAATTGCTTGAAGAACAAAGAACAGTTTATTATATACTTCTGAATCCCAAATGCATTTTTTTTTGTACCAATACACTTTAAAGATAAAAGAAATATGAAGGATCAAAAATCATGAAAGACATAATTTTGTGGCTTTGGGAATTAAGTGTTGCAGACTCTGAACTACATTGTACCTCAATTGATGAAGAATTTCTTATCACAGTGTTCACACAAAATATTAAAGTTATCTTATTAATTGATAGTTTTTTTTCCATGATAATGCTGTTGAAAAAAAATTCTAAAAACAATAGAACCAAACCTTTAACATTACAAGTTTCATTTGCATGGGGAAAAAATATCTGTTTGTTTCATGACCTACTTTTACTTGCAGACATAGAAACCACTGACACTTTAACTAAATCTTCAGTTGTGAAAATTTATAGTCATGGAGGGATTTCAAACTCAGTCTGGCACATCACATATAAAAGTTGTCTTGAATGATAGTGGTTAAAAAATTACCTTAGTGTGTTACAGTGTAATGGGGTTAAAAAATACAGTAAAATTTGTTAAGTACGAACACAGATAGTGCAGTGAAGTTTTTTGAAATCCATAAAATTTTTATGGGTATATAACAAATACGGAATCTGATATAGTCATTTTTCAGTTATAGCAAACTTATTTTGTGTAATCCCCTAGAAGTCAAAAATTACATATCTTAAAGAAAATTTTTAAAGATCTTGATTTGAAAAATGTTGATTTAATATTTAAAACTCAATTCATTCAAAAACTTTTGAATTCAAAAGAAAGTTTGTATTTCCGTTTGTTTTAAGTATGCTTGGTTGTAATTCTTGAATGAAAACTGCATCTACATTGAGAATTATCTATATATACTTCAATGAATTCATTATTTGGATTAAACAACTTATGGGTATAGTGTTCAGAGTAAATTCACAGGTTTCCAAGACTTTGCTATAACTAAATTCTACTGTAATAAGTTCATAGAGTTATTTAAAAGGTGCCTATATATAAGTAATTTGGGAATCATAATTATTTCATTGCCTGATCATGACTTCTTATCCAAGAGATCAAAGTTCTAGCTTTAAATAATTATGCTTTTATATAGCTTCCATATATTGATTTTTATGCATTAATTTTCATATGTCCGAAAACCAGAAAATAAATAAAAATTTAATTAAAGAACATGTGATGTTTTTCATATAAATAAGTTGTTTGTTAAAAAAAAGTCTAGACACTGTAGGTGTTTAATTTAAGCCGATTGAAGTACCTGAGGTTCGAATCTGCTCAAAGAAAACAAATTTTTCACTTAATTCACTATGATATGCAAGTCAATGACATGTTAATCTTTACGAAAAAATGACACCATGGTATAATCCCCTCCTCTGCATGTCTCACATTTAATGTCACTCGGAAAAGATTACCAATTCTTTTATCAATGCTATTTAATGCACTGTTAGCTACAAGAATTGCTAGGGACTAAAACAGTAGGCATGTTTATTACAGCAAGTGTTGACAAAAAAACAGGAAATGTGTCCTTGAAAAGGAAATTTTTATTTTTTTTGTTTTGATGATAAAGAAATAAATATTAAGTAGATATTTTTGTAGAATTAACAATTTTTATATCCGCAACTTGAGATTTTTTTCCAAATTTTTTTCTGTTTATTTAGCTTAAATTAAAACAGAGAAAATATTTCACATCATGTTTGATTTGGACCGAATCTTGTCAGTGACATGTTGAATTTGGGGGAGAGATAAAACCACTTGACATGTGTAGAATATAAATAAGATGATTGGAGTCTGATAAACATAGGTCTTTCATTTGTTTGCTAATTTTTCCAGAGATAATCCACTTGAAAGTGCCATCCTCCTCCAGGTCATGCGGGTCGCCAGCGAGGGTGATAAGTATTCCGTGACCCTCCGCAGCCATTCCGCACCTTCCTCATCAGCTGACAAGAACGGATCTCTCTACTCCCAGTAAAGAACTAATTACTGATACAACTCGCTTTTATGAGAGAGCATCTTACTGAAGCAGATTGTGCATTAAAATGGACACTTAACTCTCTCTCGACAGCAGTGGATACTTGTTTGGAGTTTTGATAGGTTGGACTTGATATTTTGATATTTATTTTTTTTCGAGATAAGAGATAAACATTCCACCCCTGCAGACTACATGGAAAGTCACTTGTGGCATCTTTTCCTCGGAGATACTCACTCTCGATTGTCCAATCAAACTTTGGGAAATTTTTTAGAGCCTTCCAGTGATTATTTTCAAAGAGCCGGTGGTTAAAGTATTCCATTTCCAGTATTCCTACCAAAAAATACCAAACTCAGGGACCCAGTTATAGCATCGCTGTGAAATCCAAAGTGGCAGTTTTTACTAAACTGTTCAGTAATTGTGATATTTTCAGACTTTATTGATTTTTTCAATATTTTTCGGGATCTCATAATTTTTCATTTATCACAACTTTGACATCACGAGCAGAGATGGGTAAAGGCAGAGGAAAAGGAAAACATGGCGTGGGAACAGACATGCCTACTCCACCGGACGGGGGGTGGGGCTGGTTTGTAGTTCTAGGATCTTTTCTCCTTCATGTGGTGGCTGATGGAATTGTGTATTCTTTCGGAGTCTTCTACATGGAATTCCTGGAGTATTTCAAGGGAGGACGAGGGGAGACAGCGTGGGTCGGGTCTCTTGTTCCAGGGGTCACCCTCCTCGTTGGTAAGTCAATACTGTAATTTAAAATATATGTGACTTTATTTCTTAGGCTTGTGAAAGAGTTTGCTGATTAATAGAATTAATTGATCATTTAATTCAGTTTCAAGTGATCATTTATACTTACTCTGAGATTGGTACCTAGCAAAACAACTTGACCAAGCATGATTAAACACATCTACTTGATAGGGCCTAAATTTTTCCAATTCATTTATAATAGCAATTGGTAACTCCCTACCCCCCCCCCCCCCAACCTCCCCTAACTGTGGGATATGTACCCTAAGATATATATCAAAAGAAATTCATTCCTTTTGAAGTTCTTAGAAACTCCAGAAATTAGAAATGTTTCTACTGCTAGGTGCTCTCTGAACTCTTTAATGTAAGGATAGCATGATGATGTTCATTCGAATTAATTGCATTATTCAAGCTTTTCATTTAGTTTCCATCTAGTTTTATATCAAGCATAAAAGATAGATATGGTACTTATACATTCATCATTATACACTTTTCTTTTTGTTGTATTAATTAATTCATTTCTGATATTGAATGTACAGATTAATTTGAAGTGCATAATGACCTTGATTTTCTTATTTTTGCTCTTATCACTTGTTTATAAAGTTACACCTATACTTGCATAATGAACTTGAAAAGGTATTACACTACATCCACTCAAAAACAACACTCATGATTATACCATGGTGAATGAATGAAGGAGGACTTGATCTTTATCAATCTAGCTTTTTTTATAAAGTACTTTGAATTTATGCCCTAGATAAAACAGAGGATGATACAGCTCTCTGAGCGTATTGATTCAGCCATTAGGTTTTTTATTAATGTTATGGTAACATTGTTCTTTAATGTCATGATAGAAATCGCCATAAATTTTTGCAGTAACATATTGTTCTTTAATGTCACGATATATATTGCTACTGGGTAATTAACTAGCTGGCAGCATCACACCTATTAGAAGTAAAATATGATTATAAAATTCTTCTTTGATCTTGCATGCATATAAATACACTGTACCAAACAAAATTCAGTATAATGGTTTTAATCCCTTATACTTTTAGTGACATTTTTTTCAGTGATTTCGGAGAGACAGTTTGTGTGAAATAAGTGAAAAAAAATTTTTTTTTAATATAAAACATTTTCTTCCTATGATTTTATAATTGGTAATTTAAAAAAAAAAAAAAGGTATTTGCTAGTTAATATGAAATGCAGAAATTGAATATGATAAATTTTGTACATGTGTTAACTTAATATATGCACAGCAATTAACTACAATATAAGAAATTAAAAAGAATTGTTGATACTGCACCCTGCCTTATCCATTTAATTCTTAATATTTCCATTTCTAATTTTTCTGTCTGTGATAACTCTTTGAAAGTTGTCGGAGTTTATTTCTTGATAATTCTGCCGGAATGTAAATTAGGCAGGTCGATAGGTCAGCAGCTAAGGAGGCCTAATATGCATGCAAATCTCGTGCGCATCTGTCTCTGTGTCTGACGCTAAGGAGGCCAAATATGCATGTAAATCTCGTGCGGCTGCCTATGTGTTTGACGTCAGTGGGCAAGGACTATTGAAATTGGCATGGAAGTCCTCGTGTAATTTAAGTCTATGTTTACATTTTTAAAGTCTAAATCTACAATTTTATTTCACAATGAAATGGAAATATAAGGAATCTCTGTCTAGTTAGTATAGTATGCCAGGGACATCAACGATAGTGGAAAACATGGAATGATTTATGCATAACGGGCTTCGCCCGTTATGCAAATTATCCCATGTTTCCCACTATCGTTGATGCCCTGGCATACTATACTAACTAGACAGTGATTCTTTAAATATACATGTAAATGGAGACAATCATACTCTATAATAGTATATATGAGGAAAGACAATATTTCTTTGCAACACAACCTTGCTAGATGTATATCTCTCTCACAAATTACTAGAGTGATTACATCTATACAAATTCAGTGATGTTGGCTTAGAATAATATATATATTATATAACTGTTGATATTGGAAGTAATTGGCTGTCATTTTTACACTTTGAAGCCCCAGTCAAGTAGAAAATGGCTGGAATGAACTCTCTTTGACTTCCAAATTCACAGCTAATAAAATCTAGCAACATAATAGCTTTCTTGATTAACTCTGCTGAAAATAGCTTCTAGCAATACAAAAAGCCAGTTTCTATAACCATTAAGGAATTACAGTAATTGGAGTTTTCACTTAAAATACTGCTTTAAATTTTCAAAATATTTTCCATGTGACACATAAGTTCTGCAATGCAAGCTAAATCATAGGCATTGGAAGCAAATTGAAAGTGTGTGTGTGTGGGGGGGGGGGGGGGCTAAACCAACAAAAAAAGGTAAATTCCAATTTTCAATGACTATATAATGTATATATTTGCAAAAAAAGTGGGAGGGGGGGGGGGTTGTTAACCCCCCCACCCCTTCTGATGCCTATGTAAAAAGAAGAAAAGAATTTGATAAAAAGAACTGTAAATCAGTTAGAATTACAGGAGCATTAGTTAGAGGAGGATTTTAATATATGGTACTTATAATAGACAGTGTATTATTGTAACAAAATCTTTTTTAGTATGATTGATCATACACTATAATATAGTGACATTTTAATTGAACCCCTCAAAATGCAAAGAATTCATGAACATATATTTCTATCTTTGAGATAATTTTTTCCAAATCATTGCATGACTAATTAACAACACCTCTGGAGTCAAAGATGCACTAATTAATGAATTCATTAACAGTAAAAAAGAAAAAAAAAACCAAATTGTTAGCTGTATAGAAATGCACAATTACCAAGATCTTGGATGATCACTCTGTTACCAGCATTCTGTGGTTAATTAATCATACATCATATGACTCTTGAGTGCAGATATAGGGTGCCTACGTAATGAAGCTTTATAGTGCTCATACCTCACACTCGCATGGTAAAAATTGGTTAAAATATTCAAACGACAGTCTTTAAAAAAAAAGATTTTTTTCTACAAAATAGACCTTAAATTATAGTGCAGAAAAGGATCCAAATGAATGAATAATATCCTTTAAAAATCTTAAGAATAAAGCCTTACTTGTGGAACAACCAATAATTACATGGGCATACATCTCTTTCATTGGTATGGTAGAGCTGCACTCTCAACAAAGGTCAAAATAAGGGGCCCAGTGATGCATATGGGCCACAATGTTCACCAGAGCCATGGTTTTGCAAAATCTTGTACTGTTGAAATTAAATTTGTGGTATGTAATACAGTATACATCAAGTCATACAGTGGTGGATACATGCTTAAATATTACATGCAGAACATTATTTAATCCAGTTTAAAACTTTTTTACAGGGCCAATAGCCAGTGCCTTGACCAACAGATATGGATGCCGAGCAGTGACCATTGTAGGGGCTATCGTGGCTGCGACCGGTTTCATCCTCAGTCTCTTCGCTCCCAACATTTACTATCTCTTCTTCAGTTTTGGGGTTCTCTCAGGTGAGCAGTGTTACCTCGTCAGGTATTGCGATATTTATATAGGTATACAGTATTTTAGCTCACCGGTTTTGTTACATATATTATAACCAATTATTATTGGCAATGAATTTCATTTGTGATTTCTTACTTTTAAAAATCTTATCCAAGTAATGGTTTTGCAATTTAGGAAATGAAAAATATTCATAAGTTAGGAAAAAAGGTCACAAAACTCTAATCAGTATTTTTTGCACATGGATAAAAGTTGGTTTAATTGCAATATTGAAGACCTTTTGAGAGTTCTGCTTTAAATATTTAGATAAATATGTGACATTTTCTGCCCCCCCCCTTTCGGTTTCTCTAAAAAAAGTTCATTGAACTGCCCCATACTTGGCATAGCTTCAATATCCTCTTTAATGGAGTAGAAAATATGTATAATGTGGCAATATTAACAATCCATTTTCTCTCATCTCCCTTCTCATTCAGTTAATAATGTATCGATCAAAACAAATGTGATTTTCTTATTGATTGATTTGCCTCAATCCTTGCCAATAAGTCCATGCATCAGTAGACAAAAAAATCAAACATTGGAAGGAAAACATTGATTAGGTGCTAAAAATAAATGTTTTTTTTAGTGTGGAAAAATGATTTCAAACTGAATGTACTTCGTAATATTATAGTACAGTATAACACAGTTATAACGACCACTCTTAAAATGAATTGATGCTTACAGTGAATTGATTTTTGTTCACACTGGCTTTAAATATTGTATTGTTAACTATAAGACACAGCAAATTACATATATAGTGAATGAAAATGTCCTTCCCTGGCACTTCCTTACAAGTGTGATTTACTGTTATGAAATTCCACAATGTTTTTTTGTTTTTTTTTACAGGTCTTGGGTTTGGATTGATGTACCTTCCTGCCATTGTGAGTGTCAGCCATTATTTTGAGAAGAAGCGATCCTTTGCCACAGGCATTGCAGTCTGTGGGTCAGGCCTGGGGACATTTATTTTTGCCCCAGTTTCCAAACTTCTGGTGGATGAATACACATGGAAGGGGGCAGTTTTAATAGAAGCTGGAATTATCCTCAACTGTATTCTCTGTGGGGCATTGTTTAGGCCTTTGGTTGTAAGCCATAATGATGCAGATAATAACTATGATGCAGAAAAAGGAAAACTAGAGGAGAAGGAAAAACTCATGAACAAGACAACAGAATCTAATGGTGTTCAACATATGAACCAGGAGGATCTTCCAGATATTCAAAAGACAGGAACAAAAGACACACTGGCCATTCCAAGTAAAAATGTAAATAGTCTCAATGTAGAAAATGACAGTACAAAACTCTTCAGAAGTGAAGGAGCCATCAATAGAATCACAACCAATTCATTAGCAGCCTCCACATCCAAACACTCCATCAATCAACAGCACTCTGGTCCCATGTACAGGAAGGACATCTTCTATAGTGGAAGCCTGGTCAATATTCCCCAGTATCGCTCCAATCCCGATTTATACGTCACGAGTATTACCTCTCTTCCCGACGTGATCCCGGACGATCACGACTGGTGCCTGTTCCGTTTTCTGGGTCTCTCCCCCGAAATGAGGGACGCCATCCGACAGATGCTAGATTTCTCACTTTTAAAAGACGTCATTTTCTTACTCTTCACCATCTCTAACATTTGTACAAGTATTGGTTTCAACATGCCTTATATTTACCTCCCGGATCGTGCTCACGAGAAGGGGATCAGTAAAACGGATGCCACATTCCTCGTGTCTGTGATAGGGATTGCGAACACCATCGGTCGAGTGGTGTTTGGATGGATGGCGGACAAACCCTGGGTAAATCGACTGATGCTCTACAACACCGCCTTGTTCATCTGTGGGGTGGCTACTGCCCTCTCCCCCCTTAATGACAGTTATCCTTTCCTGGTGTGCTATGCTGCAATCTTTGGTGCATTTATAGGTAATTTTCACACATTTTCAAATATACCTTATTAAAAAAAGTTCTTTTAGAACCTGACGAAAAAGGTCAAAATAAGTTTACATGTTCTTTAGATTGCACATTATTTTGAAACATTGATAAGTGTTAAAAAATAACTCTAGTCTGGCTAACCTTTTAGGATAAAAAAATCATAAAAGCTTTTGAGATACTTGTTGCTCTGCCTTTGTAGATATTTGTTTCATTTTCTTTGACAGTTGAGTAGCACTCCCATCAATATGAGCTGGTTTTCAATATTGCCAATTTTGCTGTAAATGAGTTTTGACTGTACTTCTGTACTTATAGTCGTGAAGAGAAAACATTGACCTTCCCTTTGCGATGGTTCATGTTTGCTATGGATAGGTCTGTAAAGAATCATAATGTCAATGCCCAGTTGAGAGGACCCCAACAATTCTCTTATTCAAACATTAATTTTACACTGTCCATGTAGATTTATTTGTGATCAAACATTTAATAAAAACCCATGTACATATATTTCCTATTAAAACGTTAATTTTACAATGCCATGTAGATCTATTGTGTGAACAAACATTTAATGAAATACTTAGTTTTTTTTTTATTATCCAATATATTAATGTAGGGAGGAGTTGACACTGAAAACCCCTATAATTTAGTGTTTTAGGGTGTTGTAAACCTCGTTCTTATTCCAATATTAGGGCTCATAAATTTTATCAGTTTTGAGAACTTTTGATCTCCGATCCCTGCTGACTGCTCTTACACTAAATTCTAAATTTTTGGAAAATGCGAATCTCTATAAATATACTCTATATGACAGAATGACATCTTAACATCAGTACTGGCAGTCATATGATAGATTTATATTAAGATGATTTAGTACACTCAAGTATCATTTAGAATCAAGTTTGGATTTGAGTGGTGTACGTATTACTAATACTCTCATTTTTTCCATTTAATAGATAAGATTATGTGGACATGCCCGCATGGTTAAATTTTCCATTTTCACATTCACATGATGATGAGTAAAAGTCATATTGTTTTCAAGTACCAAACAAATTTTAACAACATTAATCATGATGCTACATAAAATGTTGCTTTTAATTACATGAAGTCACAAGTGCGAAAACAGTTTATGTTGAACTCATCTGTATAATTGTATAAAAGCATGCTGTACTCTTTACTTATGGTGCAAATGGTCTCAAAGTTTCCTCGTTATAATCACGAAATTCATGTACGTACATGCCCACATAGTTTGCGTAACATTTGATGCATATTATCTGATAACATCAAAAGATGTAATAGGGTGTAGGCAAAGAGCTAAAAAGCTTTATGTTGGAAATTGACCATGACCTTATTTCTTTCTTTTAGCTAACTGTATTTTATGCTTTGTGTGCAATATATGAAATGTCTTGACTTTTACTTTTACCTGTTACAGGTGTGTATGTTGGTTTGACTTCAGTCGTCCTGGTTGACCTTTTAGGACTTGCCAAACTGACCAATGCTTTTGGACTTCTGTTGATGTTTCAAGGTTTAGCAACACTCATTGGGCCTCCAATTGCTGGTATGAAATTTGATAAAAAAAACAAGTGATGTTCAAGTAATTATTTTGCCAATAGTTGAGTTCACATGTAATCGACAATTTTCTGTACCGGAATGCTTTGATGCACTAATTTAGATATACAGATGTAATGTTATGTATGAATGGAAACAGTTTACTTAAAGATGCAATTCTCATTTTTGCGAATGAAGTTTTATGACCATGTCATTTGTTTGTGTAAAATATTCTCATTTTGAGTGTCCTCAAATTAGTATGTTGCAATATCTAACTCTGTTCTCATGATTTATATAATTTCAGGTTGGCTGTATGATGAGACAAAAAGTTATGACGTGTCTTTCTATGTGGCGGGGACGGTGGTAGCCGTTAGTGGCGCCATGCTGTACAGCATTCCGTTCGTACAGAAATGTCTGGGCCACAGACCGCCACAAGACTTAGTAGAAATATCTGTCGCCGAGCAGGAGGATGAGATGAAAACTATGGCTGCCTAATCAAAGGAATTAAATGGCTTTCAGAAAGAGATTACAGATGACAGATATTGAAGATTGAAGAGATTGCACAATGAAAGAAGCATCGGCATCAGTTGATTCGTCCCCAAGAAGCTAATGTAGCACAAAAGTGATCTAAAAATGTCTCTGTGTTCATGTCCTAAAGATGAAGGATTAGTCTAAGATTTCTTTTGAATGTTCCAATTTGTCTGCTTAGCTATCAGTATGAGGACTCAAAAATGTCTTAACTTTCTAATAACTTGCTTTTGGTACAGGCATTCCATTATACAATAATAAATGTAGTTAACCAAAGCACATGTACTTTAACAATTATGCTTAAGCTCCTAATTTTTAAAGATTATTTCTAATATTGATTTTTCTCTTTACCAAGAAACTTTTTGCAAGAAAATGTGAGACAGTGCCTTCAGAAATTTGAATTGTGCGTAAAGGGAGGTAACTTATGACAGATAAACGAATGCCAGCTGTGTAAATCTTTGAATTATATGCCATTACATATCTTATTCTACGTAAAAAAGCTTGATTTCAAGTTATGATAACTTACTAGTACATAATATATATAGCTACATTGTTTATGTGAATGTTTACTTCAATTTATACTACAATATTGATTTGTTAATTATTTTCTTGTTTAAACATATTTTTTTCATTCTACAAATTGTATTTTTACCACTGTATATTGTTTTATGTAGCATCTTTTAATCATGTTTTAAGAGAAATGAAAATTGTACAACAAATTGAATAGCTTGATTTTATGATCAACAAAAATTCCCCTTTTTATACCATGACTAATATTTTTTTATGAATTAATTAGGTAAAATAATTGAAATCTGTTGACAATTTTAATCTTTTAATATACATTTGCTCATGTTTCCAAACAAATTTACTTATACATGTAATACTTTTCTTTTTTTCTAAATTAATTTTTAATAAAAATACACCAAAGTTTTGATGAAGAATTGATCACATATTCATATTTTTTATGTGCAACTGTGAACCCAGTGTTTTGACAGAGGCATTACATTGAAGTGTGAAGACATACACTATTAATGCGTGCAATATATCCATTAGAATTTATACCTAGTCAGAAGGAATAAAAGCAATAAATAAAATGATTTTTTTTGTTTGTATCAATGGTTATCATTTACAAATAACTCTTTATGTTCATGTATCTTCTCCCTCTTCCCTTTCTCAAATCACATACACAGGTTGGGATTATTTTTGTGTTTTGAAATGATGTTGGACTTTTTCTCAGAATTACATGTATTTCATCATTTTGGTGATGGAAAAAAATTTAAGTTATATTTTTATGCTTCAGTCTTCTAGGAGACATATTGTTTAGCAATAGGAACAGCTTACATCATTTTATATACATGTTTATGTAGTTACGAATGTTTTCCTAAGCTAGAAGCTAGAAATACACTGTGTCTTAATTGTTATGTATGTTTTTTTATTGAGGATATTGTACACTATACTGCACTTAGAAAGAGATCAAGAATTTAAATAGAGTGCAAATATTCCTGTATTACTTCATGGAAATGAAAATGCTTAGAAAAACGGTGAAATAATTTTTTCTAAGCAAGATATGTCTCATTTCTAACAAATTGCCCACTGAGATTTCATTTAGAGAAAAAATACAAACGTAATTTGAGAACAAGATATTAATTTACATGTACATATTGCTGATATAGCTGTGATATTGAGATGGTTATATTTGATGAAATGTAATAACATGTATTTGCCACATATATAATCCAAGGTATGCATACCTGACAAGAATTGTTATAAACCACAGCTAAAATGTACGATCCTCTCCCATTCTGGTAAGAGAGAGCTATATAATGGTCCAGACTATGACTTGTGAGGAATATATTCATTTTAGGATGAATTTACTCTATGTCTGTGACATAAAAATTGAGAAAAAAATCCAAATATTGTATATTTTCTTGATTAAAGAACTTCAAAAAAGCAATGTTTTCATTTTATAATTACTCAGATTACATGTAGGTACTAGTAATTTAAGTCCAGTATTATATGTACCAGGCAAATTAAACTTTATAGACATTTGATCAAAGGCACTTGTTTCGTACACTGGCATCCCCTACTTATTTTCACAGTGGTAAAAATAAGTACGGTAGGGGATGCCCTGTATATGAAACATGCCTGTGCATCTGATATCTATTGGTAATCCGATGAGGTTGTTACAAATTATGTACGTCTTGCATTCACAACAGTCTGATTTGTAGTTTTAATTACCTTGAAAGTATGATTCAGTGCAAGTTTGTTGCAGACTCCATATATTGGGAAAGTCAGTTCCAATGAGTTTCCTTCACGTTTAAAGGATGAAAACACCCTAAAGAATACTAGTACTGTAATAGTCAAACTACAAATAAAACTAAATTTCGAGTTAGACCTATACATTTGCTGAGTTTGGTAATGAAACATCTACTAAAGCTAGTTTCGAAATGATTGTTGAAGTGTTGATTAATCACAAATAAAACGTAGAATGAAATATAATTTCAAAATTAAATTTTGTATTCCTTAATCCAAGGTTACTTGTATCAAGATTCATTGAAGGGGGATGGCATGGTACATCCAGAAATAAACAAGTTAAATGCTTACAAACAAACAGACGGACTATGACGATGCATTTGTATTTAATGAAAATTTATGATATTTCAAAAAATATTGCTGTAAATCCCTCTCCGGTCAAAGCTTGATCCAGACCAAAAGTCATGAATTTCGCTCTGCAAAGTTTTGAGCAGGTCTATCCCGAGTTGTCCTCCTTTACGCGGATTGAGAACTTTGGGAAAAAAACTCGATGGATACAGAACAACTTTAATGATTCTCTTGACTTCACATTGAAAATATTACTGCTGAGTTAGTAAGTTTGACAATGATCCAATAAATATCCAATGATATTGTCCAACAATATAACTGACTTGTAAAGAGACTATTTTTTTCTTTTTTAAAAGAGATACTAGTACATGTACATATCTATAAATCAAATCTAATCAAGTATCTTCTCTTTTATAGAAGAGAATCAGATAAAGGTGCACTTTTTTTTAACTTTAAAAAACTAGCTTCGATTTAGTGCCTTGGTACTTGCGTCGCATAATTATTGAGAATTTGATTACAGGACCTTGTTTTCTTGCCCAATATTCAGAATGGTAAATACTTAATAAACTCGTTAGATTTCAATTGGTACTGTGCCACCTTTTAACATCGTCCAGAAATTAAGAATTCTAAGTTTAATAGGCTTCATCTGTGTGAAAACTTAAAATTTCTCACGAAGTTTTTATGCCTCTAAGTCTAAGCGATGAGATCAAAGATGTAGGTGCATATATATATATATATATATATATATATATATATATATATATATCTATATATATATATATATATTTTAAGGAATCACTGTCTAGTAAGTATAGTATGCCAGGGCATCAACGATAGTGGGAAACATGGGATAATTTGCATAACGGGCGAAGCCTGTTATGCATAAATTATCCCATGTTTCCCACTATCGTTGATGTCCCTGGCATACTATACTAACTAGACAGTGATTCCTTATATTTCCATTTCATTGTGAAATAAAATTGTAGATTTAGACTTTAAAAATGTAGACATAGACTTAAATCATACGAGGACGTCCATGCCAATTTCAATAGTCCTCGCCCACTGACGACAGAAACATAGGCAGCCGCACGAGATTTTGATGCATATTTGGCTTCCTTTGCGTCAGACACAGAGACAGATTAGCACGAGATTTGCATGCATATTAGGCATTCTCAGCTCCTGACCTATCGACCTGCCTAATTTACATTCCGGCAGAATTATCAAGAAATAAAGTCCGACAACTTTCAAAGAGTTATTACAGAGAAAAAAAATTAGAAATGGATATATATATATATATATATATAAAGCACATTTTACAACAACTCTTGAACTAACATGTTAGTTTAAGAGTTGTTGTAAAATGTGCTTTATAAATAATAATTAATTTCATTACAACATGTATTGGTAACAATCCTCTGTTAAAACTAATGTCCAAATAACTGTATTGTCTGACGTCACGGCGTCAGACAGTACTAGATTTAACCAGGGCTTATTTATGCAGTCGTTCCATGAAATTGTTTAGATAGTTCGATGGTGGAAATTTCGATACATGCATAATCTCCAAAGACGCATGTAGTTCGTCCCAGGAGGAAATGAGCTTTTATTTACATTACTGAATGATCTTGTCTTTAGTAAAAATCCGTGCTTTCATCTTTGAACGTGTCCGCCGCTTCAGTTCTCTATCAAAAATGTCTATTATATAAATCTCACTGTTTCGAGTTAAGTCATTTTACATGTTATGGCTAAATAATTGATTGCTTATTTTCAGTAAAATTATACCTTGACATTGTTTTACTAGTATGCAGTGAAAACAGAAAAAAATGTCTCATTCAAGTTCGCTTTTTATTCTGTATTGTGTAAATGTATGTTGCTGAAGTGTTATACTTCACTCCTATCAAACGATTATATTTTGGACGATATTACATTTTTAAATTAATATGCACCTTCTTGTTTCTTTCCCAGATGCTTCAGTTCAGAATTTCATCAATCAATTGCGTAATAGTGTTAAGTAGAGAATCATTGTACATCAAATGGTTTGAGAAGCAATGAAAGCTTTCAACAACAGCAGGGGAATGGTCAGCATGTGTAACGCTCTGCCAAGATTGTTATTGTTAGGATTGGGGTTAGGGTTATACGCGCCCATTAAGTGATCAAAGATCTTCCCATTGATTTCATCATTTACAACCTTCATTTTATTCTGTTTGTTAAATAAAAAATCAGTTAAGTCATTTAAGATATAAAACATATCTTTAGTTGAAAAAAAAACTTTGAAATTACTTGAAAAATGCTGACCCGGGATCTTGAAACATCTTAATCCTAAGTCGATCAAAATCTTTATTTTATAATAAATTGTTGTAAAAGTCAAGCAGACCAGAAGGGTTAGGGTTAGGAATATTTTTAATATTGTTTCACAGAGATGTTGGTATGTGCAAATGAAAAAATAAATTCCATAATTAATAAATATTTTATCGGCGATTAAAAAAATTTCAGTTAAGTTTTAGTTTGTTTCATGATCCTGGAGCCAGCTAGAGCTTCAATTTAAAGTTCTTTGTACAGTTATTGTATACAATATTATTATGCTTCCTGTCAGTTTGTCTCTATATATAACCCATACCCTACTATTCTCGCATAGTGGTCTAAGGATTTATATAGCGTAAACATACTATGCCGAAATAGTGCACGGCTTTATTTACTGAATAAAATTCTTCCATGCACATGCCGGTGATCGAACTAAGGACCAAGAGGTTGTCAGTCCGATACCTTATCGATTACGCCATAGAGACGATCACTAATCGGTACAATTTTATTAAATATATAAACTTAATTTATACAATTGACACAAGAAGGAGAGAATAGACAAATATTATTTGAAAACAGTTATATTATTCTAAGGAACTTTAGATTAATGTGTACAACAAACTTTCAAACTAATTACATACAGATCGTTAGATGAACTGATTTTATAGGGTCATTAAAACGCTTTTTTATATGACGCTTGATTGAAGGATGTAAAAGAAAATTATCAATGAGAATCGACGTCTGCAAACAAATAAGGCTTACTAACATAACAGAAAATGAAGATGTGTTGCTTTGGGACAGAAAATCCCGACTTATTTAGAGAAAATACTAGTAACCAAAATAACTAAGCATGCAAACAATTTTAGCATGAATATTTTGAATGAGTTCTTGCATGTGCGCTGTTTAAGCACCGATATTTTCAGGAAAAAGTCAAATAGATTGCCGCATAAATAATTACAACAGTCAGCATAATAATAACAATAGTGTTGCATTATGCATGTACTATGCCTAAATAGTAGGCAGGGTTTGACACATAGTGCACTCGCCTCCGGCTCGTGCACCATGTGTCAAACCCTGCCAACTATTTAGGCATAGTACATGCATAATGCAACACTATTATATAATTGATTACGCATGGTCTCTTGAAGATATATTATAGAACGAAAGAAATTATATAACATAATATATTATTCCTTT